GTCACCTGCACTTATCGGATCTTTGAGGTCATTTGTTTTTGTAGCCACTTAGGTACATGTTCAACCTTTCCTAACTGTATATCACGATTACTCCCCCTTATGTATGTAAATAGTTCGACAAGTTCATGTGTGATCAGATTGTTCGAAATGCATAGCGCTAATACATCACATGTTTCAGATAATTTCGTCTTCTCATTACGCTGTTTAAATTTATCAAGGGACCAGTTGCTTTAAAATGTACAACCGCATACTCCGATAGAATCAGTAGTGCAGAAAAGGACTCGGTTATTGCAACACATGCATTCGAATACAGCCACGGAATAGGGCCGTATAAGTTCACTATCGGTAGGTCAAGGGTAGTTAGGTGAAGAGAGAGGGATTAATTACTAAGTCTTTGTTCACTGAATCATTACCTCAAAATACGTAGTGGGTGTGACACAATATATACCATAGATATGGAAAATGTTAATTTCACTGCTTAAAACATAGAACTGTAGAAATCGGATGTCAAAAGGTGTGTGGTTATATTGATATGATTATGAGTAATTTATGCTAGAAATGTCATCAAAAAAATAATACTGCATCGCTGTGTACTATATCAAATTAATAAGTAAAATATATCTGATTACATTCTACTACAGTGCTACGTTTAACACTCATTTTACTGAAGCCGAAGTTTCGTGACTAACACACCGGAGAAGTTATGCTTTTTAGCACTTTTCAACGAGCGCCAACTCACCTCTTATTATTTCAAATAGTATTTTCGCTTTATTTAACCAAACCTGAGGAGAAAATAACGACAACATTAAGAGGCTAGGTTTAGCAAGCCCAAAGCAGATCAGTAATTGGATTACGGGAGCTGGCAGAAAGTCTTCTATCCAAGTTTCGTGCTTTTCGGCACGCATTAGCAAGATATATTTGCATCTTGGACGAAACTGATGTCCCTTCTGAGATTCGAGCCAATCTAAGCCAGTGTCTCAGCCGCAGGTGTTTCTACTACAGGAATTAATTACACCATCCATATTCGTGATAAGAATTTAGGTATCTAGAGGCGTGACTTATTTTTAAACATTAGAAAATGAATGGACGTCAATCTTCAGGCTTTAGTACACCTTCTATGGGAGTGGATGAAGTACAGTGATTAATCACTGCAGAACAACCAAATCTATGTTGTCTTGCCCTAATTGTTGATCGAATTCAATCAATCATTTTGCGGTTAGGCAACCTGTCGGTCGTCTCCTTCAACTAACATCTATCATGGTCCATCATCACGGTGATTCTTCAAGCCTGGTGACCATATTAGAAAATGATCTATTCACCACCAAGAATGTGTACCACTGAAAGTCCTTTAGAATGTTATACAAGCACTTCTCATCCTGATGGCACGAAGTACATACCATACTTGAAGACATGATGCCTTCTCATAGTGTGACTTGAGTTCTCTGTAGGCTATCGCACAGTAAAATGATGCTGCCCGCACACTCGTGGTCAAAAGTTCTTTCTAACGGCTAAAAGGTTTACACCATCATAGCTATGCGTCTCTTTGAGAACTTTCTTAAAAATACCACCGATGGTTGCGTAAAAGAGGATTGACGAAGTCAGAAACCCCTAATAAACGTAAATAGGGAACTTAGGGTTACAACAACAGGCTGTCCAGTACAAAATGTCATAAGAACTTTTAACTTTGGACTGAAACCAAGTGGTAAAAACCAATGAAAACATGCAATTGCTGGACAACTATTTCTTTCAAGATTAAGACTCTTCATCTGTACAGGTTCATGAATTTGCAAGAAATTGAACCTGGCATAATTAGAGTTTGGATTGAGCATGTTATCCTCCAGCCAACGGAGTGAATACCAACTGTATCTATGTACCTACTTATTTTCATTTAGGGCATTATGAGACAACCCTATAGACACCACTACGAAGGATTAGATTCACCACTTCTCTGCCTATACATTAGGTAATATGACTCAAAGATTTATCCATCGAAAAACTAGATCAGTTTTTTGTTATATGATTATTCTACTCCCCTGACAGATATAATGCCATTCTACTAATTATTGTACTCTTAGGAGTAACTGTTGCCTAGACCACTCAGGGACATCATATGCCAGGCTCTAGAGTGGAATCCAAAGGGGAAATGACGGGTTGGGGGTTGGAGGGTGACATGGAGGAGATGGTGTGAGGAAAAAATGAAAGGTTGTGGGTAGTCATGGAGCCAGGTTGAAAAGACTGCACGGAATGAAATGGTGACGTGCTAACGATTCCCTATGTTCCATTAGGAACCCAAGGGACAAATATCATTAATAATAGGACTAACTGTGTTAGTTAAGGCAATTTTTGTCCATAGGTCAATAATATATCGTCGAAGAAAGTTGAGCGCAGACACATTTCGCATGGTCTTATTTTAACGAGTAGGTCACGTGAATTTTCGATTACTTCAAACTGGCGTACACTAAACTAGGTCTCCATTCGAAAACATCTCGCTATTCTGATACATTTCGAAGGAAAGACAACATATGTTCCGGCCTATTAGTATCAAAGCCTAATGATCATTGAAGTAAACAACAAAAGGGAGTGATAAAATCACTTGAGAAAGGCATGTTACCTGGTAATTTAGTTAAATAAATTGCCGTAACTTGGATGAATATTCCGCATTATCCATTACCGAAGGAAGACGACTGTTTATTGAACAGTATCATGGTAGCAACCATGGTTGCACAACTGAGTAAGATTGGTTTTGACCTTGTTAGAGATAAGGTTAATTTAACTGGGAAGGTGTACACTATCTTAAGGTCTTCCACTGATAAGGTTTGTGTGATCCAACATAGTTAGTATCTCAAAATGAGATGTTTAGTAGGCTTAAAGTGAATACATTTGGACTGTAGACAGTAAGTGATACTCGATGATGACTAAAAGTGAGATGAAAATTTGGACGAGACGAGATTCGAACCTATGATCACAGAGATTCATTGGCCGCTGCTCTACCAACTGCCCTACTGAGGTATGAATGCAAAAGTACAACATTTGTTACAGAATGGCATGTTTATATATCCATGGCACTTATATTTGCTTCGAATACAAAACAGTAAATGAATAAAACTGTAATCAAATAACAGCTCCGCTTATGGCGCATATTCAGCATTTGTTGAAAAGTAGTTGAAACAACCAGCAGCAAATGATCAGATTAGACTTTTAGCTACCTTATCCAATCATTCTGTGCTTTACTCATAAGGTGATGAAAGTTTTTCTCTACAGACAAGAACGCAAACGTCAGTATATATACTAAATGGTAGGCATCAGTTCTTGGACGATTAATTGAAACAACAGTCACTGAATTAGAAATTGTTGATAATTACAAAGATTTGTGCACGTATTGAAGAGACGTCTTTATGAAAAGTCTGCAAAATGAAGAATAACATGATGAATGCATGAATAATGAGAGCTGAAGACACCTGACAGTATAAAAGGTGATAACGAAAAAGCCTAGGAGTGAATGGAATTCCGTTCTGAGATTGTTCTTAACAGCTGCTAAGCAAAATAAAAGAAACTATTAGTAAACAGAATGGAAAATATTTACTTTTTTTGATTAAACTTGTCATAATTATGTTTCTTGAATATTGACCCATATGCCAGTATCCATGCCTTTACATTTACTGAGTATCTTTACTAATCCCTGGAGAGTAACCAGTTTCATGTTGTCTAGTCCCTAATTAGTGATCGAGGACTATCAATCATTTTGGAATACGGTCACCAAGCTAAACATCTCAGCATCGCGATGCACTTCGATAGATGTTAGTTGGATGGAAGTGGTCGTAAGAATGCCCCCTGCCTAGATTTTGAGCATCTTGGAACTCATAAACCTGAATATCGCATTGGTGACGTCTGTAAATGTGGCACTAGGTGAAATGGGTTCAAATCTCAGGCAGGTTACAGACACGCTTTGCTGAGTGTTGCTAAAAGGCATGAAATCTAGGTAGAGAGCTTCCTGCTGATTTCTTCTATCCGACATACATGTAGTTGCTTCATTTTTAATTCTCTACTTTAACTCTCAGTTGTGTTGTGAATGCTTGTAAAAGATAATGTTTACAGGAATATAACAGTTTCGATAGGCAGTTATAAATAGAAATCATGAAATGTTACTACTACTACTTGATAGGAAACTAACTTGCTCCATTGGTAAAACTTTCTTTTTGAAATGATCACTCTGAAGACGTTTTCATCAGTTCACTCTCTTTTGTTCTATATGCATTTCATGAACTGAAATTAACGGAGAAATCTTATTTGATTAGAGCTTTCGTTAATTATCCGAAGAATCAGCCAACGTAAACTTCATGGTTGTAGTTCTTTGTGCAGTCACAGGAATCTAAAACAGAGACGAAGAAGAAGATTAAAATCTTAGTTGACTTCCTAGCCAGTTGTATGGAAGGTATGTGCGTTAATAATAAGAACTCAAGTGAAAATGATAAAAGCACCTAAGTTGAGCGAATATAAAAGTAAAACTACTCAATAAATTTTCAAAATGTTTTACACAACATCGTTTGAAAATAAGGAGTAATTCTATAGTTCATTATTTAGCAAACCCGCTATTCATACCCTGGTTTATTTTGTTATATCAGCTTAGAAAATATTAAAAGCTTTCCATTTATTTATTTATACATTCATTTATCTTGTTTCTTACACAGAACTGTATCTGATTGGTCTAGTGACAACAGTTACATTATTGGTTCAATACTAAAACCAGATAAATTCAACAGTTTTCATCATGTAACTTAAAACATATCCAATCTACTCAGTAATCCATATATATGTTGTGGAAATGCATAAAAAGAAAAAGATGACTGATAATAACAATTCGAAAAGTAGCCAAAACAAAGCGTTCAACTAAGACCATATTGCCAAAATATCGAAGCTCAAGACGATGTTCCAATATTTGTGGATGTTATTCACCTAAATCTGCATTTGATCTATTCTGTAGTTGTACAAGTGTACGTGGAATGGCTAAAATTCGTCGTGGACCCAGAGTATTGCGTATTATGTGGTTAACATTTGTGCTTAGTATGACATTCCTATTATTAAGTGCAACTGCTCTGTTAATTAAAGATTTTTTAAACTATGATGTCAGTGTACACACTCAACTGATCATTGATAATCCATCACCATTTCCTGCGCTTACTGTATGTCATCAACCACCATTTTCATATGAAGCATATAAACTGTGGAATGAATCAAAAATTTTATCACCTTCACAATATAATTTATATATGCGGAAGTTAATTCTTAATGCTTTATATGAAAATGATATTGACTCAGCTAGTTCAATATGGAGTTATGATAGTTTAAGTGTATACTATCAAAATTTGGACTATAAAGAATCTTTAAACTTGGGTCATAGTCCAACAATCTTCTTAAACTGTATGCGAATTTTTTCACATATGTCAACTTTTGAAGATAATTGTACACTTTTAAGTGGTTATCGAATAAAACGTCTGTCACATCATCAATATTTAAATTGTTACACTTTTGAACCTATTGATACAAATGCAGCTAATGAAACAACCTTTTTAAGTCTTATTGTCGGTATGGGTCCTAGAGATAAAGATGTGATATTACAACAAGCTTTCCTACCAGATGTATTTGAACAGGCTCGTGGTCTTCGTGTTGTAATTCATGAAGCTGGTACTATGCCTGATTTAGAAAGGAATGGAATACATGTGGAACCCGGTAAACTAAATGAAATCAATTATGAACCTGTAAGATGGAAAAAAATGAATACACCTAAAAGACCATGTATAAGACCAAATGAGTCACATCAATACACAGATTTAGATGAAAGATATAACTATACACATACTCAATGTTTATTAGTTCATCAACAAATAGAAATTATGAAGAATTGTCATTGTATATATGTAATGCATCCTAGACTAGTATTACCTAATCAGAATTTACCTTATTGTGGTCGACTATGGCCTCATTTAAATCAAAGTGAATTCATTAAAAAGATTCTCTGCCTTGGTAAATATTTAGATAACTCAGTTAAACAAAAATATGATGGATGGGCATGTTTTCCACGTTGTGAATTTTATGAATATGAAAGTACAACATCTGTTACAAAATGGCGTGCATATCCATGGCAATTATATTGGCTTCGAGTACAAAATCAAGCTACTCAATGGTTATTAAATTACCAACAGATTCATCCTAGTAAAAATATTACTAATACAGCAGCATTTAAATTATGGGAATTCTATCTAAAATATTCAGATTTAACACGTTTACCTCATAAAGTGAATTTATTAAACATTCTAATAAAAGTTTTTTTGATATTTCATCATTCTTACCAAAATGGCCACCAGAAAATTTAGATTTGGACAGTGAAGATTTTGCTTATGTTATATTAAAACGTAAATCACATAGTACAGTTGAAAAGACTGAAAAATTAGTCTTAAGTCTTTATGTACTTGTAAGTCGTATCGGTGGTTTATGCTCAGTGACAATTGGATTAACTGCAGCTTTTATAGTTGAATTATTTGAATTTGGATATTTATTATATATAAATTCTATAAGAAAATCATCTGTTGTTCAAACAAAAAAATGTATAGAACTGAATCAATTAAAACAAATAGAACAAGATAATACGTGTCAACAAGATAATATAAATTCTCTTTAGTGTTGAAACAAAACAATGATTACATGTTTTCAATTAAAAAAAATTATTGAACAATGAATTTTAAACATATATAATATTCATACTAGAATTTTTGTTCAATCTACTTGTATACAAAATTATACTTTTTATGGCAAAAGATGTAAGTAATACTTTTGTAAACGGAACTTATATATACTTGTGAACATTAATTAATAATTGAAGATTTTGACATTTCATTGTAAAAGATCACTATAATTTTACATTTCAAGTTATTTTTATTGCGTCATTAATTAGAAATATATATGGTAAATTGAATAGAAGACTAATAGTAGTTTGTAATTCAGGATGACAATGGTTACTCTTTGATCTACTCTTGGCTTTGACATTTGTTCATGGATATTTTGTCACTACGCTAGGCCAATACCTTAAAAATTTATCTGTATATGTCTGAAGAAAAAACTGTATGATAACTAGTGTCTCAGAATCAACTGAAACGATTACTGATAATTTTTTATTCATATAAAATTAATTGACTATGGTATTTTCTCATCAGTCACCTTAAAATAGACAATCTTTATTTCGTCAGCTGTAAGTGTCCATCAAGTTACTGAGTATAGTTGTCTTTACTAAATCATTGTACAAAAGTAAAGATTAAAACAATCTGAATTATGTGTATAAGGTGGAAAGGAACTCCTCAAGTAGATATCCAACTATTGTTAAGTGAATAATATTGTGAAGCTAAACATGCTTAGACTGTATTTACGAGTGACTCACTGTTAACACTGTGAACCATATCAACTTAAAGGTTGCTTAAATTTACCTGATGAATGAGTTGATAAGCCTCATGTGATAATGAAATTGAGTCCAATGAAGAGTTTACTGATTTATATCATACATACTGATCATGAAGCAAATCAATTCAACTTATGATAACCTAAGATGCTAAGTACTTAGATAACAGTGATTTCCTTTACTTCTGTGCTTTCAATATAAGGTTTATCGCCTTCCAAGTGACTTTTCTAAACTGGAGAAATGTAAAGCGAAAATTTAGTCCAGTTTATGATAGTGTCATTGATATCAGATTGTTTTCGGTAGACGATAAGCGTACTGTATCGACTAATTCTGGATGTTCAGTAACTGTCTGTTATGAATGTAAACTGTTTATGCATATTGTGGTATGATCTCATTTTTCAAGAATGTAAGACTTTTAAACATCATTTGTAAGCATCTCCTTGTCATGAAATCCTTGAATAGAGGTTACTGAGAAAAATGTACTAGGTGGGGTCAGCTTCCACGCTTACGTCGAATTCAATGTAGCCAAACGTTGCACCGCTCAGTACATCTTAAGGACAATACGAAGTTTGATTGAATCGTTTATTTCTGCAGCTGAAAATGCCATCAGACTGTAACCAACATTTATCAAAAATAAGAATAAAATTGCCACAATCATAGTCTACTTGTCAGCCACTGTACATGAAAAAAGTTCTAAATTAGTCTTTTCAGTCTTCCATGAAAATATGTTGAATAATCTTTTGAGCACAAAATGAGTTTTGCCGACTTTCTTATTCCTCAAGGCTAGTCAATTTTTCCACCCTACAAATACATCAAGTTTACTCTGTTTTATTTCGTTTTAACTGTATTATTATGTTCATAAACTGTATCGCATACTCCCGCGATCTTAAGAACAGTTAACAACTTATCGATTTGAAATTAACAAATGTAATAGGGATGACAGAGTTTTTAAACCCGAACAAAACTTTGTCAAATGACAGTACTTATAATACTCAGCTTGAACTACGGATCTCCACTGGGTGAAGTGGACTATTTACAATGACTCCTATTGTTATTATTTGTCGATACTTATAATTCTGCGTTTTTGTACTGGATTGAACTGATTTACTTCTGTTGACCTATGGGTTCCTATGCGGATACCTGAATATTCATTGTTATAATTGACTTAATGGCTAGCAACGAAATCTAGGATGCACATTTTGTCCTCCTTCATGAATGTACCAGCACCCTAGAGAGTGATTTTGTTCCACTACCTTCTATGTTCCAATGTTTATCATAATAGTGGTGTAGTAACACTAGAAGAAACTCAGTTGAGAAACTTATATGACGACAATTTAGTCTCCTTGAATGTTTCAAAATGTTTTGCATGGATTGGTGTAGCTGTGTGGAAGATTGCTGCGTAAATGTAGCCACCTTTATCAACACTCAGTGATGATCATCAAACTATATATGTTCTATCTGTTTTCTTCACAGTAACTCAGTCAGTTTTTTGACTCGCTCTGATGGTATATCAGACTTTATCTTCTTTACTGAACCTTCTGTCTATGTGACTGAGAAACATTGAACCATTGATGAACTCAGACCACTGTACTACATGTGTTCTGCCAAAATGTATGTGAAACTGCAGAAAAGTACTTTTTCATACAACTGTAAAACCACTATGCGCAGGAGCTTTACACCTGACCACATACTCAGTCTCAGACAGATGTTACAAGACCCAAAATGAGACATTTAGAAACGGCGCTTCGGATGATACAATCGGAACTTTTAAACTTTGTTTTTGCCAAAATATATTTACTGTCCAGCTAAAATAATTCTTATAAGATTTGGTGAATTTTATCCTACAAAGTTAAAGAAATTGCAAAAAGAAAAACGGAAGGGAAGAAATGAAAGGATAGAACTGACGTCAATTTATTTAACTGCCATACTAAGCCTGAAGTGAAACGCATAGACCTAATTTATAAGAAGAAGATTATATCACGTAAATACTCTTCTAGTACGCGAACATTTTTTAACTTTCTTACTGGTCAAAGAAAACACAGTAATGAAGCTTGTGAAAACATCTATACAAGAAATTATACGCAATACGCCAGCCTGTTAGTGTTATTTTATGTAGTTATTCAAACATAACAGAAAGTAATTTTCCTGAATTTAGTGTAACATGTGTATTCAAGTTATAGTTTGTGGGGTTATGGCTTGCATAGAAATCCAGAATGCGAGTTTCATCCTCTTTGGAACTCGTCAAATTGGTGTACCTGCACCCCAGTGAGTGGTGTTGTTCCCAATGAGACCCAAAACTCATAGCCATCACTTCAAACGACAAAACGTTATCCACTTGGCCACGGAGGTGTGATAACTGCCTCTTGTAAGATGGGTATTAGTTATTAGTATTTATAGATATACTTGTAGTTCCCCGTTTTTATACTGGATCGAAGTGATCGGCCTATGTTGTCATGTGGGCTCCTATAAGGAAACGTCATCAAGTGAATCATACTGTATGTTATAAATCAAATAAACAAATCTAATATCTTTTGGATACATTATTTGAGTTCACTTCTTATGATTTGTGTAATTAGCAACACACTAAACTTGAACTGATTTATAACGAATTGGCTACTTAGAAAGACGCGACCACACCAAATGGCTACAGTTACATTGAAGTACAATAAACAGGCAGACTGAGGGTACAGAAAGTTGGATTCATTTAACATATATATAAATAAACATAAGAATACTGTTATACAAAATAAATTGGAGAATAGTGAAGCCATCTGCTGGTTACTCATTTCGTATATGTATCTTGTTAACACTTTGATACGAAACATTCATTTAGAACTCAGGTATAGACATTCTCATAAATTAGCGACCATGTGATCAACTTGCCACCTACCACCAAACATCTCATTCATCGCATCGGGTTACTGCTTTTCATTGCAGATTTGTCAGTGTAGAATAGAAGCCAGTTTGCAAGTGAGATAGCTGTATCCACAGATTTTCTGGCAAACAGTTCTATGATTTAACTAAAAACAACATATTATGGATAGAAATCACCCTCTGAAGTTGCAGCATAAACACAGAACAGTGCGGAAGCAAAAAAGTACGAGAAAAATCGTATCTGTCTGAGCGAAGAATGACTGTAAAGGTTTCTCAAGTTATGAGTTGTACTACTTACGAAAGTTTACCAGAACTAATGAAAGACAGAGATTTACCATTGTTTGAAGCAATCAGAAGGAGAACAATAAGCTGTTTTGCAGACATGTCTAGAAGTATTAATTTTAACTATGCATGCATCTCTGAAAGCATCTAGTGATGATGGTAACAATCTTAGAACCTTTCATAAAATATGACTAATTATAATGTTGTTAATATTGTTGACAGTCCATTTAATCCCTTATTATCAACTTATCGTCCTGTATTGAGTTCAGAACGGGATGACCGATTAAGTATCTATTTATTTAGGCAATTCACTATAAGTTCCTTATTTCCTATTGAAATATTCACGTGATTCATTAACAAATACGTTCATACATATCTCGTTAGGTATAATAAGGTGAATGCTTGAATTAGAGTGTGACAGGATTATTCTGGTTGTATAATTTCTTCATTCATCCTTCTTGTCAATATTATTATCATTATCGTTTATATAATAGCAGTTCTTCAGTACGCCTGAATGATTCACGAGTGTTTCTTGATGAATGACTATGAAATAACTGTGATAAACTGCATTATTGGAGTGGCCCTGGATTTTACAGCATTTTATACTATGTAGCTTGTGAACTCTGATAAGAATTGAAGCCACTGTCTATATATTTTTCTAATTATCTTGATAGTCAGTTCATTTACTGACTTTATAATAAAATCTAACAAGCGACAATAAAGAGATAGAGAGTTAGTGAAGCAAAACTATGCACACAGCTACCCCAAATCATTCTGTTGAACTGAAAGTTACTAATCACTCATTTGCAATATTGGAAACAAAAGAACTATGATGTAATAAAAGTGTTTGAATACTAGTTAAGCTTTACTAAACGCATATTTTATGGTTGGTTATTGTTCACCCAGTGCGGGTCATGAAGCGAATTGGGAAAAGATCAATGAACAATTTATGAAGCAGAAATGAATGAGAATGAATAGGTGATTGAAGTTGTTTCACGAGTACCAAAGAATATTTCCTGCTTTTCAATTATTCGTTCATCTGTAATTCATAATCGATATCACTGTTTTATAAG